GGCCAGACTCGAGTTCCTTTACAGCGCGACGAAGACTTTCCAAGTAGATCGCAAATTGAGTAGTATTTAATATAGTCCTATCCTTTTAACTTCTTTACTCTATCCTTGCCTGAAGCTCTGATTTCTTGCGTCGACTGGTCTTATCCTTGTATAACTGGTCGGGAGTGGCTGAACCCCGAGGGGCCGAGGTTGAACAATGAGGGACCCAGGTCAACCAGCGAGATACCGGGTGGACCAACGAGGGATCCAGGTCTACCAACGAGGGACCGGGTCGACCGATGAGGGACCGGGTCGACCAATGAGGGACCTGGTCGACCGACGAGGGACCGGGTCGACCGATGAGGGACCGGGTCGACCGATGAGGGACCAGGTCGACCGACGAGGGGCCGAGGTTGACCGATGAGGGACCCAGGTCGACCGATGAGGGACCTGTTCGACCAATGATGGACCGGGTCGACCAATGAGGGCCATGGTCGACTCCCTTCGGTACCGGTTTAACGTAAGCTGGTAATGACCTCTCCTTCGTTTGTCTTTCAAATTCTCAGCCAACGGTCGCTTCACTCCGAGGTTCCCTTTATCTCCGGTCCCTTCTCTCTGGTGCGTGGTCCCTTCTCCCGAGTCCACGGCCTTTTGTCCCTTCAATCCAACTAGCCCCTGGGTTCTTCACAATTTAGGAAAGCACTTCACCACAGAGGTATCGTACGTGTTGGGCGTAAGCGTGTATATCACGCTTACCCTGTTTCAAATCCACGAGCTCAGCCCGAGCCCTGAATTCGGCGCGAGGCGGTTCAAACGTGTGTTTGAGCCGCGCCTTGAAGACGTCATACGTTGGGAAAACGTATGGGTCGTGCAGTTTGAGCCCTAAGGCCCAAGCTTTGGCACGTCCTACCAAGTTCGACATGGCGAACTTGACCTTCATCGCATCGTCATCAATGCGACGAGCCTCAATGGCATCGTCGAGCTCGACGAACCATCTTAACAAGGAGTCGCTTTCGACTGCCTTGTACTTGGAGACATCAATCTTTAAGGACTCGAGTCGACGTGAATACGTCGACCCGGCAACAACAGCACTAGCCTGCTGTTGTCTCAACAGTTCAGACTGTTGAGCACCCTGCTGCATCAACAAGTCAGCTTGTTAAGCGCCTTGTTCTCTCAACAGTTCAACCTGTTGAGAACCTTGCTCCTCTATCAAGGTGAGCTTCTTTACAACTTCGTCAAGTTCATATTGTATGAACTTGGCGATGGTTGCATGTTGGTCGTCTCCGCTAAGAGAGAGCAACATGGCACCAACGGCAGGGTTGCCGATGGTTTCAGCCATACGCTGAACCGCATTCCATTCGAGGTCACTCAAATGGCGGAAATGATCACGCGTTGCGTGATGACGTTCATCACCCGCTGATTCCATAGCGAGTGGTGCGGTGGTCGCTGAACGGACCACGAAGTGCTACCAGGTGTAATGGGGCACCCTCCGACTATACTGATTACAGTATAGTCTACTTTCACTGATTACAGTGAAAGCATGTGCCTCAATTACCTCTCTTAAACAAGAGGCAGAGGAAGCTTTACTTCTAAACAAACGCTTAGAAGTAGAGGAAAAGAAAACTGTATTTAATATAGTTAACTATCTAATAAAACTATTCTGTTATAACCTACGAGGGCATTTACCCGTCGTTCCGACGGATACCCCTACAGTACATGTATACTGGTCAATCACTTTGCTTAAAATATCAGGTTGATTAGGTAAATTGATAGGTGTTGAAGTCAATGTGTTTTTAGGCCAATGTAAACCCGTCGTTCCGCCGGGTACAAATTGACGAATTTCTGTAACGCGTTGATATACAGTTATTTACATTTAGATAATGCCTGCACCCTAGTGAATCGATAGACGATTGCACCATGTTTCATAGACCCACCTCTTTATGGTGTTCGTTCTGATGGTGCAAAGTAGAGTATATTGGCATGTTAAACGCAGCGATTTACTAAGATGTATACCCGTCATTCCGACGGATATAGTGCGCAAGTCAACGCTTGTAATATATTGATCTATATAACATCGTATTACCAATTTGGCTGACTACATTAAAATTGTGATATAAAAGTTAATGTGTACTCGTCGTTCCAACGGACATGGTGACTAAAGTTTGCCTTTTGACCTTCGAGCCCAACATTTTACCTTACACTATTAAGGTAAAGTGATGGGTATAAGGTTCAATGTGCACCCGTCTTCCCGACGGATAGTAACGTGCGGATCGAATATATCGATGTAATTATGTATATAGGACCGTATGTAATTTAATCTATGTCTATCAATCAATTTTTAATACAACTTTTTGCCTGTGTGCAGTTTTGGTAGTGCCCCTTGTTCCGTCGGATAGGGGCGCGATTCTACGCTGATAGTACCCTGGCCCACCATATATCTTAAAATAAAGATGCTCACTCGTCGCCCCGATGGACTTGGTAAGCAAACATATGCTAACTAATCGTCGTACCCACTTATCATTCTGGTTGAGTCAGATAATTGCTACATATGAAGTCAATTGCTACATATGAAGTCAATAAGTATGAAAGGCAACGTCTAACTGTCGACGCTGGTCAATGTGTACCTGTCGTTTCGCAGATCAATATGTACCCGTCTTTTCGACGGACACAGTAAGCGAAGTATGTCGTCTAATCTTCGTACCCATCATTTTACTTCTATATATCCGGTTCAATAAATTGGGTATAAAGGTGAATGTAAACCCGTCGTTCCGTACTGTAGAATGTCCGGTTGACTCAGGTAAATGAATAAGTATGATGCATTACATTCGAGTCGATTCGCTTATTGTAACTGCATCCACTTAAGCCTATAACTACGCTTGCTTTTGCCACTTTTAGTGAATTAAATGAGCACGGAGCCCATGTTTGAAAAACGAAGTGATAGTATGTGTCTCATCTACTCTTCTTAAAAATAGCTATTTTGATATAGCACTATGTAATGAAGCATATGAACATTTATGTGTGCCATCGTTTCGTATACAAATTTGCAATATGTAATGATGCATATGAACATTTATGTGTGCCATCGTTTCGTATATATACTTTATAGATAGAAGCACGATATATGGACACTCTGTTGCGGAGATCTGCACATATAATTATCAATACAAAAATGCAAACTCTGCCAGTGCAAAATGAGCCAAAAATGCAAAATCAGCCAATCCAAATTAGCGAATAATGCAAAAGTAGCCAATCCGCATGCCGGAAAAGGAGCGCCCGGACGAACGGACACTTACCTTTTATTATATAGATGTTAACTATATTAAACTACAACTATGTATGTTGACAACTTGCCCTCCACTCATTGCGCGCGTCCATCGGTCATTGGTCAGCGCGTTGGTTGATATGATGGCCCATATCAACCAATGAGAGGGCATCTCCAACTTCAAGGAGATCTAGGAACAATATTATAAGAAAAGGTAATATTGTCAAAATATTATTAGTTATAATAATATTTTTATTGACACTTCATATAAGCGTCAATATTATGTAACGGGCTCACCCCGTTACACGCGGGGAAGCAGCTAAATCGTGCGCGGTGGTGGGATGCTTGGTCCAACGCTTAAGCGGTCACACCAACGGTTGCAGTCGCCGAAGCGAACCGCGCAACACACTTTTAAGGCAAGTGCTTCACACGCGCCACGCAGAAGCATATTCAGCCTCTCGAACGCAGTGAGCTTTGTTAAGGAAATTCATGACTGACTTACATTTAATGATCTAAAAATTAATCACATAAAATTGAACCAGCTAATTGGTTAAATGTAAAGATCGGATACTGGTGCCTTGGGTAAGCACCGGCCTGTGTCGTAAGTGGCGCAAATTCAAATTCCCCTATGACAATATAAGGTCCAAAAAAATACAGGTCTAGCTGCTAACCTCTTGACAGGCTTGCGCGAGTTCGATGACGACAAAATCGGTCGTCAAGGCAATACTGTCTACGGTTACATGAATCCTGCCTTCTTTTCATTGTCTGCCACCATCTTGGCAAGCTCAACTCCACACTTGCGGCCGATGTCGATGCCGCTACGGAGGGATGAACCGATATGCGTGGGTTTTCGAGCAGACTGAAATAGGCTGCTTGGCCCTTTTACAGCCTCGAAGAGTGCCGTACAAGTCTATTGTGGATTACGCGGTGGTGGTGTCATCTGACATGAACGAACGATACGCGACGAGTGCTTACTACCAATACCTGGATGGCATTGGTGAGATTATTGGCAGTGAGTCAGCAAACAGTTTGACCAGCAACTACCTGCGTTTCCTATGGGTCGCCCTTTCGCTGACACGGTGATTTAGCATTGGTGTGAGGTACGGGATATGAGCATGCTACTGGGTGAAGAAAGCACGCTGAACCAAGGTGTTTGGTTAAGCTCAGAGCATTTTCGCCTTCCGAGAGGGCAATACAAGAGGTTTACCACGTGCACTTTCCCGTTTATAATTTTTGCTGCTGAGTGCTGCCACGACGCTCCGACACCTTTGTCATTACTCAAAAACTCAGTACTGAAGCTGTCTGAATAACGCCGTCTATTGACAATGTAAACAAAAATGCATTCGAAAATGTATCGCGATAAGCCAAAAGAGGTGAGTAGGTCATTTGAGACTTTTTACCTTTCTAGTTTGATATTCGAACTAGCAGGCTTCTTAACCCTGTTAAACGAATCAATATAATGGCGAGTCTTATCAGTTTTTGATTCATTGGTACCTGCGCAATGTTGTTCATCCGACGATATCTGCATTCTTCGACGTCTCTATCGTGCTCTCGAAGCTCAATTACTAGGGCAAAAAAGGTGACAATATTAGAATCTCCCGTCGATTGTAATACGACAAAACAGACAGAAACTCAAGCTAAACATGGCAGGTTGAGTACAACTAAAAGTCCACGAAATGCTCGCACGTATTTCGACAGAATTCAAAAGCGTAATGGTCTTGGACTCTCAAACAATGTTGCATCCACACTTCTCTTGACAATGGCAAGACAAAAAAAAGTTCAAGATTGTGCCGAGATGTTGCAATACTTTGAGAAACAAGACGTGTCTCCAAAACCTTTTGCACTTTTGACTGCGTTTAGTGCCTTTTGTGAAGCAAAAAAGTTTGAGTATGCGTTGGGTATGTTTGAGACTTTGTATAAGGGTAGCGTCACTCTAGATCCATGGGTGTTTGGGTGGGCACTGGATGCAGCTACTGCCTTGGACCAACATGAACTAATTGCTAGTATCTTTCAACGCTTATTGAAAGTTGGAAGAGAAGGAGAAGAAGACTTTGAAATTGCTGCAAACCTTGAGGTGAATGCAAGTAATTGCATCGTATCCGAGATGCTGCATGATGTGCATGATCGTGGAGTACCAATGTCAGAATTTGCACTACGAGCGCTTGTGAGTTTTGCAGACAAGGCATACAAGTCTGACTTGGCACTAGTTGCTGTGTCCATGATGCAGGATAGAGGGATAGCACTTTCGAGTGAGCTTTATAGCAATGTATTGAAGGCTTGTGGCAAGAATGAACGGTGGAGTGATGTCCTGGATGTTTTTGAAGTCGTGCCCGAAGACATGTATATGGAACTAAGTGGTTCCGCTTTGGGCTCCGTCGTTATGGCACTTGCCAAAAGTGGGGACGAGGAGCTAATTGAAGTAGGGCTTGACTTATTTAACGATCATCCATCGAAATGGTTTGGATATGCGTGCAACGCCGCCATGGAGGCACTCTTACAGACCAAACAGTTTGATGAAATTCTCGCTCTAGCGAACGAAATGAAAAATTATCGGCTCAGGTGGAGCCCGTTCACGTACAGAATGGTGGTGGTGGCGCTAATTCGCAATGGGTCCATAGAGGAGGCAAGACGAGTGCTACATACCAATGCAAAGCGCATGCAGAATGATAGTGCAGCTTGTTACGGCGAGCTTATTGACTACTATGCACAGACGCGTGGAGATGCCATCGAGGCTCTTCATCTTTGCGAAGAGATGCTGCTGACAAACTGGCACATACAGTTTACAGACTGGTGTACTGCGTTAAATCTCACGCATGATCTTCCACATCATCCAGCGTCCTGGCGTGTGCGCAAGCAATTGTGGCTGCGTGCTGAGTCTTTTGGGCAGAAGTTTGAACAAAAGATCCCTTACAATTTGCTGGTACTCCCCCAACAAACAAGCACACGAAATCAAGTCCTTCTAGTCGACGGCGCGCAAACGACACAAAACGTATCGCCAGAACCTGTAGACGTATCATTTGGGCTAGAAGTGCTCAATGATTTTCGGTCAGCTAACGGATCAGGTCTAACGAGTATTATTGCCACGAAGCTGCTTGAGACGATGGCAAATCATAACTGCATTGACGAGTGTTTGGAGATGTTGGACTTTTTCGAGGAACAAAAGGTATATCCGAAGCCGACGGCCCGTATGGCTGCATTCAAGGCGTTTTGTGCCTCAAAGGAGGACGGTCAAGCACTAAAAGTGTTTGAATCGATGCTTTTCGACGATTTGGCCTTGAAGAGACAAAATTTCTCGACAAGCGTGATTGCTGCGATGGAGTTTGAGAGACACGAGGTAGTCCTAAGCATTATTGATCGTGTACGGAAACAAGGCAAGTACATCAGCATCGAGGAATACGAAAAGATTCAAGAGTGCTTTGAACACGATGAAAAATGGCGATCGACAATCGAGTTGCTGTCTACAGTGACGCGGAACAGATTTAGCTGATGTTCGTGGGATTTACAAGTCAGTGCAATGCATGCCAATGTTTTGGCAGGGTTCCTTGCTAAATAAACAATAAACGCTGCTGGAAAATTTGCATTCATGCTACGCTGGCTCAACGGTAGTGTAAACATTGCCCGTGGACATCTTGTTTCATGAAGTCCGACATTAACGCCGAAAGCCTTGATGTACTTCTCTGCAAGGCTGAGCAACTTACGCGCCGTGGATGACGTCATTCGACAGAGTCATCACGAAGACGGAATTTGTAATACATCACCGGCACCATCACGTTTTTTGCAGACCTGGATGGTGATGTCTGCATCGAAAACGGAAAAGGAGGTCGCGATCTTTCGTCGTCTTGGAGATTGTCATTGGGCCGTAATACACAGACGACGTGGCTGCCTATAAATTGACATACCATCGTGCAAAGACAGTCGACCGAAGATAGCGAAAGAGGAATGCTAAGAAGGCTGTGTAATATTCTCGACACGGAGAAAAAAAGTGTGGGTCTGGCAAGATTCTTGCTGGCGGATGCGTTTGCGATGTAGTTGCAAACGCATGTCATGCTGGTCGTAAGCGCTCTTTTTGCGCTTAATTTAGGTTATTGCGACCTTCGCGAGCAAGTGCAAAGGTGTCAATCTTAAAATCCGATACTAAGCCGTGGCATGTGTAACAGAACGGAAGTTAGAGCTCAAAAGGTTTACCTGAAATTAGTTCTCGAGCACGACACTGTAGAGTACCGTGTACAATGTGAATCATCTTGATGTTCTTGTTCACCTTACGCTACGGCATCTTTTGACTCACGGGATGCATGTTCTTATTCGTCGTCATCTTCAGTACTGTCCTACGGACAGCAGTTGGAGTCATAATTGTGTACCATGCGTAGTGTGAGTCATGAGATCGTCGGTGACCTGTATTCACACCGTTTAGAGAGGCGGACATTAAGCCCGCGAGTATACGGCGGTCAGTGTGCCAAGGCCATGGTTATTACGAAGTGGTAACTTTTCTCGCTTTGCCTACAAAGAGTAGAGAATCCGTCGACTAGGTACTGATCATTTCGTCATGTACACGGACGTAAAGCAGGCGGGAAACTCTGAATATCCTGCTCATTAAGGCTGATGTCAACGACATGCCCTACATCCTATTTTCTAAACATTTTGGCCGTGCACGTTATGGTGATCATCCAACGTTTAGTTGTCATTGTAATACTGTAGTAGGCGCCTTTTACTTATTCAAATACTTGATACAAAAAGGTCTATATCATAATATCGCTATAAAAGGTCATATACAACAGGTATTAATTTTACACAATTGACATTCATAAGCGACACTAAAAAAAGTAATCTTTTTTCTACTTGTATCGGTTAATTTTTTGTTTCATGTATGTATGCATAATTTCCATAATTTTATTAATTCAGTAATGAATGTAGTGCTTTGGACCATTTTATTGAAAGTGATGTGTTTACAGGGCAAGTCTATAAGTTGATACGGCGGGTCTTCTTAGTCTCCTACAACACCAGCGATGCCGAATGAACTTGTACGATGCTTAAGCAACGTACACATGCTTGATACATACGCATTAGTAAAATACCAATAATCAAGTTTGGATCTGAAATATTACAATACGCTTTCATCGAAGATGGCGGCACAATCTGATCCACAAGCTTTTTGCGTCGGCTAAAAATGTGAACGACACATGATGTTCCTGAGGATACCACGTAGACGCTATGGAAGTCCCAGGTGCACTTGATCGGCCCTACACCGAGATGATGAGGTCGACAGAAAAGATTAATAACAATGTACTTTTATTGTTTCCTGTTGCTAGAATTACGATATAAATCAAATCGATAACGAATCACTGCTTGCAAAAAGTAGTGGGCGTATGTATTGTCGTGCTTATTGTTGTATTGCGTAATGGAGCAATCTATAACACAAGTAGTGATAGGAAAAAATATTATTACATAACTAGGCATTGGGCAAGTATCCGATTAGTCAACCTTCAACATCTCAGGCGTCACATGGCTAAGCATAAGCTTACATCACAGCTTCATACGCTGGCGACCTTCTTCCTCGACGGCTGTTTCTCGGTCAAGCATTCCAACTAGACCATATTCCTCAACAATGCTATTAAAATCCATGAAACCTGTAATCCGAGCCTCGACGTCGAGATTAGACAAATTCATCTTCAACTCTCTAGAAAAGAGCTTGGTGACGTCTGGGACACGATCGTTAATCATCGCCCCTGCCTTCCGCTTCATCTCGGCGAACCGCATGTCGTCTGACACGCTACTAATGTCTGTCTTCAGAATATAGAGCGCCACATGCTATAACACATCAGGCTTGATTGTTATTCGTACGCTTTAGGCCACGGCGGCTTCGACTTCGCCCGTCGTACGGCACCTTGCCTTTGTATTGCCTTCGGTGGCGAAGAAACGTCATGATCGCTGGCTGGCGCCCATACTTTCAGTATGGAGCTAGTAGCTGGTGTGGCTTCAAAGATCGTCTGAGGCACCGCCATCTTGGCATCTCCTTCGCATCATTCTCGTAGTCGGGTCCCATACCCGGCATAGCGATGCTTGATTTAAAAATGTTAGTAAGAGATCTATATGAAGTTTGCCACTGAATTGCAAATTTCGAAATGAGATTAGACTGCACGTTAGCACAGCACTTATCACTAAACCTCAATCTTAATGTACCATTTATCTCAAACAGTGACCCACTGTGTAGACGGTTCAAATCAAACCGCAGTTACTAGAGAACGACCGTTCAAACATCTTCAACATCATCCAGCAAGTCGATATGGTTCACCGTCTCATGGCAATGCCTCTGGCCATTCAGATCGTCGTGGCGTCTGGAACACATCCTAACAGCCTTTTAGATGGGCTAATTCGAGTATATTGTGAACAGAAAGTAATCGAAATGTTCAGCATGAGCTTCATTGTATGCCAGGGATGGCACTCCCCACTAATACCACACAATATGCATCACAACTAGAAATGACATGCTACCTCACACAAGAAATTTTGGAAAAAATATGATAATAAAATTTCATTTTTAGGAAGCAGCCAAAAGTGCCACCCCCCCCCCACCATTTTTCTTCAGACTCGTCAACGTGCAGATAGTAGTTGTGAGGGGATGCCACAAGAGTACTTCAATATGTGACGTACATACGAGCAATTTCCTTGGCCACGTCTTCGGAGACATTTTCAATGCTAAGCTTCCTTTCGACAGCTTCCACGTCCGTTTCTTTATCCAACCACAACGTAATTGTTTGTATAGCAGATGCTGTTAAAAATAGCATCGCACGCCTATCCAATCTTTATACATATATATAGCCAATCAGTAATTTAGTATATATTTAGTTATAATTATTTAAATATAGCTCAGTCTTGAATTTTCTAACACCGAAGCACCACGCACGAGAAGCTGAAAAAGCTTCTGCGTGACGTCGGTGCCTTCTTGTCTTAGAAGTTCGTTGCACTCTCGCTAAAGCGAGAGGAAACTGGTGGTACGACGGCTTAAGCAGTCGACCAACCTCCTAACCCACCCTCGCACGCGAAGGTAAGACGGTCTAACCGCTTCCTCGCTTGTGCATAAGGTGTGTGCTAGTAGTACGAGGCAACTTCGTAAAAGTTCCCGTCTACACTTGGTAGCACTAGTAGTCCTTCCCACGACCCGTCTCTCTGAGCGTGCGTGTGGTTGACATGGTCCTTAATATGGACTGGAGTGACTTCCCTCACCTCTCCCAACATCATAGGGAGTTGGCAGAGCATATGGCGCAGGGACTTGGTGAGCAAGCCCTGGTCAACCTCTTGCATTGTCCTCCTGAGCAACATGTTGCTCAGTTGGAGCAATTCGAGGCGTTTGTGCTCGGACAGCGTAGAAACGCGTCCGAGGTAAACAGCCAAGCCACCGCTGAGTCCATCACTAAGACTCAGGATGAGCTTACGCTTGAGCAGGCACGTAATGAGGCGCTCAACAGGACTGTTGAGACGCTCTCTGCCCGGCCTGCTCAACCGAGGCCCATTCGGATGGACCCTCCGAAGTTCGATGGAACTAGCCCTCTCACGATTGTTCACTGGCTATTAGCAGTTGAGCAATGTGGAGTGGCGCAGCTCATTGAAGACGACACCAGAATAGTGTCGTATGCCATGTCCAACTTGCGTGGCAAAGCGTCAGAGTGGGCATACTCTGCGCTGATGGCTAACGCTGATGCATTTCCATAATGGGCGATCTTTAAGGCAAAGATTCGCGCCATGTATCAGCCGCCTAACAACGAAGTTTTGCTTATGGCGCGCTTCTTTGGAGCACGACAGGCGAAACGCTCTCTGCAAGAATTTGTGCAGGAGATGCGTTCGCTGTCGGCGTCCATCAATGGGGAACCGATACCAAGCGTATCAAGGTAGCCACGTTCATGAACGGACTTAGGCACGGCCCATCGCGTCAGGCCCTTTTCAGAAAGGTGCCAGCGACGATGGAAGAGGCAATTGACATTGCCTTAGTTGAGGAACAATCCTACAACAGCGCCTCGGCGACAGCCTATTACAGGCCGTCGTCCGAGAAGTCTGATGCCACTCCTATGGAGTTAGGCAATGCAGACGTGGCCTGCTACAAGCGCGGCAAGCGAGGCCATATGATGGCTCGCTACTATGCCAAACTTGCTGCTGGTGCTAAAGCAACCAGCAAGAAGGCTACCAACCCGAAGGGAGGTGCTAAAAACCAGCGTGCACGACGCACGGGTTCAGCACCTGTTTCCAAGATGGGTCGGGAAATGCGGGGGCGCAATAGGGGCGGGATGCTCTACTGTCGCGGACTCTGAAGCTACCCCTAAGTTCATAGTGTTCGAACAAATGGGTAGCATAGTCCCTGAGGTTCCGAAAGGTCGCAACCTCAACCCTTTTAATCTAGTGCTCGAGTACGAGGCTATGACCAAGTGATGACCTTTCTCGTGGATTCGGGTGCATCACAAAACTTTGTGAAACTCGAGGCTCTGAAAAAGAGACCGGCGAGTTATGAGTCGCTTTGCCAGGATGGCAAGCGAGAAGAGGCGATCGTTCGTTTAGCGATCGGCGCGCTCGTTAAATCGGAGGGAGTTCAAGTTGAACTCGCCTCTAGTTTCAGTGACTTCTCTTGTAAAGAGAAGTTCACAGTGCTAGGTATGGAGAGTCCGTATGACCTCATCCTAGGCATGCCTTGGTTGTCTAAACACCAACCATGGATAGACTGGCGTACACGCACAGTCGCTAGCTCTACGCAAGACACCGGAAAGGATGTGCTCTTGCGAGAGGCTTATGTGGCTGATGCTGTGTCCAACACAGTCGAGGGTGCGATGACGGTATGCCAATCGGCACCAGGAACTACCCAGCTCGAAAGGAGTGGTGTAGTTGGAAGTGCCCTAGCAGAAAGCCAGGTGACACATATTCCTACACAGGTCAAAGAGACTGGTGTAGTGAATGGGGCGATGACAAGTAGTTATGCGTCCAATATTCCTGCACAGAGCCGAAAGCCTGTGGCAGTTAATGGTGGGCTGACAGGAAGTCAAGCGTCACAAAACCGGCACAGAGCCATGAGCCTGGTGCGGTTGGAAGGAGTGCGTTAGCTAATACAGCAACGACACCTTTCTTTAGGTCCAAGGTCGTGGTGACTCGAAGAACGAGCACCAGACGTATAAAGACGATCAAGGGCACGTCGAAACGAGTGACCCTTGGATCAGTCTCGGTCCAAGAGGACGCACCTACGAACGAGTTGCTCGAGTTCGTCGAAGACAAATGCCGGAATCATCCTCAGTTGAGGTGCTCCAACTTGTCTTGGCATCGGTCGAGGAGATAGTAAATCTCTCGGAGATGACGTGGGATCTGTTCTTGTCCGAACTAAAGGAAGGAAAGAGTCACGAGATAGTCGCACCAGTTCCAGAAAAGAACATGGTGGAATGTTGCTCTTCATCCTCAATGGATGAGAGCGTCTTGGAGACCGACTAAAAGAAACGGCTTTTGCTGCTAAAGGCTGGGATGCCTTGAAGGACAGCCCGTCTATGATGTTCTGTGGAAACACCGTGATGTGTTTTCAGCAGAAGTGCCGAGCCGCCTACCGGCCGATAGGGGCATCAGGAACGAAATTGACCTGGAGCCTGGATCCAAGTATTGTGTGACCAGGCAATGGCCGTTGCCGAAGGAACAAGTCGGTTACATCGATGAGTTCTTCGACAAGCGAGCCAAGGCGAAACATGTACGTGAGAGCAAGTCGCCTCACTGCAGCCCGACCTTCTGTGTGCGTAAAGAAACAGGTGGGTGGCGCGTGGTTCATGCTTATAATAAGCTGAACACGGCCACCATTCCGGCTCAAACGCCGATCCCGCGGAAAGATGTTTTGTTAAATTCCATGGGAAAGTCAACTATCTTTTCCGCGTTGGATCTGAAGGATGGCTACTATCAGGTTCTCATGAGAGATACCGATGTAGCCAAAAAGGCAGTAAGCACCCCAGTTGCTATGGGAGTGGCTTGTGATGCCACAAGGGTTGAAAAATGCTCCGGCAACATTCAACCGAGTAGTGGCTCACGTGATGCGTCAGCACCGTGCCTACGCGCCCCATTACTTTGACGATGTATTCGTGCATAGTAGGGCGGAGGACGGTCTGAGCGCGATAGAGTCGCACAAGCGTCATTTAGACGCTTTGTTGCAGACTCTGGGTGACGCCCAATTATACGTTAACTTGCAAAAGTGCGTAATAGGGGTCCCCGAGATACCTGTACTGGGCTGCATCGTAGGTGCACATGGTGTGCGAGCAGACCCAGAAAAAGTAAAGGCTGTAAAGGAATGGCCAGTCCCACGACACGTGAAGGATCTGCGCCAAATCCTTGGGCTCACGTATTACTTGCATAAGTACAGCAAGAATTATGCGGAGCAGACCAAGCCATTGTCTGATCTTTTGCAAAAGGATACAGAATGGACTTGGTCAAAGGAACAAGAAGATGCGTTTACATTAGTGAAGCAATCTCTTGAAGAGGCACCGTTCTTGGCATTGCCAGACGCGGATAAGCCCTTTAGCGTCGTCTGCGATGCAAGCAATTTGCAATCGGCAGCGCGCTCATGCAGAAGGATGACAACGGTGTTGACCGCGTCATTTCTTATCAGTCTTGGCTTTTAAAAGCTGCCGAGCTGAATTACCCTGTGCATGAAAAGGAGCTACTTTCAATTTAGTATGCCCTTGTCAAGTTTCGTGTGCACTTCTTGGGCCCCGAACCTTTTGTGGTTTATACGAGATCACGCATCACTGCGGACCGCTAAAAATGCACCGCGCCTCTTGCCGAGAATGGCGAGATGGCTAACATTCTTCTCTGAACTTAATTTCAAAGTTAAATATATGCCGGCTAAGTCGAATGTCTTGGCTGAAGCGTTATCGCGCAGACCAGACTTCGAGGCAAGACATCAGGATAGTGTGTCTCGTGCGAAAGCACAAGTTGAGTCGTCAACACTAGCAGCCGTGAAGGCCTACCATGTTTCGAGCTTATTGGCCTCCGACATAAAGGAGTGCTACAGTCAGGACGAACATTGTCGCCTGCTGTTGGATC